AGCGGGGACATCCCTATGAACTCCCATGAATACTAGCACGCTGGTAAAAAGAGCGATAATTATCGTGAATTTATTGATGATGGAAATAGATTTATAATGTGTGCTATGATTGCTAACTATATATGAAATCATGATCTGTATAATATTATTTTCTGTATAGATTATTTTTATGAATCTCACTACGGTAAGTGAATGGTAAATGGTTTTATTTTTAATAAATGTATTGGTTTAAATTAAGTGCTCCATTGGCTCTTTTGATTTTATACCAACCTTTACTTCTATGTCGATGATATAGTGTGATATCCTTACTGGGGTAGATGTTAGATTTCTTTATTTAACCATTTCAGATCAAGAGGACCAAGTTCCAGAGCCCGATCCGCAAGAAGATTGCGAGTAGATACTAGATTTCTTTATTTTTCGTTCATTTTCTTATTTCTTATATTTCTTTCAAAATGGTGAATTCTGTAATACTGTTTGGTACTTTAAGTTATTTGTGTAAGGAATGTAAATCTTGAACATTTATTATGTTTCCACACTTTAATTATATTTCATTTTCTTTAGATATTTCTGGAGTCATTACAAGCTATCCCATAGCCTATGCTGAAATATACACTTTCTATCCACTGTTATCCCCTAGTCTAGCAAATTACAGAATCTTATTGGCTGAAATATAAACTTCTTATTCACTATTATCCTATGACCTAGCAAATTATAAAATCTTGTCGGTTGAAACATACACTTCCTATCCACTACTATCCACTAGCCGATCAAATTACAGAATCTTGTCTTCCAAAATATACATTACTTATGCACGACTATCCTGTAGCCTAACAAATTACAGAATCCTATCGATTAAAACATACATTGTCTATCCACTACTATCCCTTGGCTTAGCAAACTACAAAATTTTGTCGGCTGAAATATACACAGCCTATGTATGGGTATCCCCTAGCCTAGCAAATTACAGAATCTTATTGGCTGAAATATACACTTATTCACTGCTATCTCCTAAACTAGTAAATTATAATATCGGCTGAAATATACATTGTCTATCCACTACTATCCCTTAGCCTAATAAATTACAGAATCATATTAACTTAAATATACGCTGTCTATCCATTATTATACCATGACTTAAAAAATTACAGAATCATGACAGCTGAAATATATACCGCCTGTTCACTACTATTTTCTTACCTAACAAATTACAAAATCCTATCGGCTAAAATATACATGACCTATATACTGTTATCCCATGAGCTAGCAAATTATATAATCCTATCAGTTAAAATATACACTGCTTATCTACTGATTTTTCTTAGCCTAATAAATTACAGAATCATGTCAGCTAAAATATACACTACTTATCCACTACTATCCTTTAGCCTAATAAATTACAAAATCATATCATTTAAAATATACATTATCTATCCACTGCTACCCCTTGACCTAGTAAATTATAGAATTATGTTGGCTGAAATATACACAACTTATCTACTACTATCTCATGACCTAACAAATTATAAAATCCTGTCAGCTAAAATAACATTACCTATCCACTATTTTTCCTTAACCTAACAAATTACAGAATTATATCAATTAAAGTATACATTGTCTATCCGTTATTGTCCTCTAGCAAATTATAGAATATGTTGGCTCAAATATATACAACTTATCTACTACTATCTCATGACCTAGCAAATTATAAAATCCTGTCAGCTAAAATAACATTACCTATTCACTATTTTTCCTTAACCTAACAAATTATAGAATTATGTCGGTTAAAATATGCATTGTCTATCCGTTGTTGTCCTCTAGCATAACAAATTATAGAATCATATCGGTTAAAATATGCATTGTCTATCCACTACCATTCCCTAGCCTAACAAGTTATAGAGCTTATCGTTAGAACCCAATACAGCAAAGCCGCTACGACAAGTGACTCCTTTTGCTGGCTTGTGGTGTATATGGCTTGAGAGAAACCACAACATACTTCAAGGCCGCTACTCATCGTGCCATTAGCAGTGAGAAAGGGTAACGTATTATAATAAAAAATTAATTTTGGTGTGTAAAAATTACTTTTAAAATATTATACTATTTACAAATTTTATATATTTTAAAAAAATTAAAGAATATGTATATCTCAAAGCAACCACATCATAGAAGAACAAAAAATGTCTCCCAGCAAAAATAAAAATCATTAACTGCTTTTAATTGCTCAATAAATATATATAATCTTATCAAAAAATTACTATTTAAATATTGGTTAAACTAATATATTTGAACTTTTTTCTTGAAAATAGTACGCATATATTAGTTGTGCGTATTCTTCAAACAAATCTAAAAAATATTTTATAAAATAATTTTTAGAAAACAGTATTTTTTTTTATCTTACAGCAAGTTGTTGTTCACTGCAATTAGAAACAAGCTCTTTTAAAGACGTTTTTTTCTCACAAAGCTAACAAATGATGCCTAAAAGTGTTGAAAAAACTCCCACCATCTTATGTGCACAAAATTATCCATCTGTTTAAATTAATAAAATTTATGTAATAGTAATAATATATTAGCAGCGGCATTTGACAGAAAATTAAAATTGATTTTAAACAAATATATTAGCAGCTTAATTTCTAGCCATGAGAAAGAAACAAACAGTTTGCTAGTGCTCGACAAAGTTACTACATGAGACTGAATGAAAGGTATTGATACTTTCCCTTATATATATATATATATATATATACAAAATCTTCCGAATTCGACAATTCCCCATAATTATTTTGTTCCGTCTACAACATTCAAGAATGCTGCACCAGACCTATAAATATAAATAATTTATACAAACAAAAATCAGTATTAACTAGATAATGTGACTGCCACAAATCAAGATCTAATTGTATTACGTACACGCACACCAAATTTCATATTGATATATTATATTATAAAGTCTCCTCGAGTATCAGGAGCCCCTTTGACAAGCAGATTTCTTTCTGATTTCAAGCATGCAAATTTAAGCACCAAGGTACTTTGGAATATGCCTCCTATACAGAACTGTCTTCTTTCACCAGCAAAACTTCTTCTTCTGCTTGACAGTTGAGATACAGCATGTGAGACATATAGAAAAGCAAATGTTTCTTTTTCAGATTGGTGACTCTCACTTTTCACTTACCCGGTGTTTGGCATTCTCTTCAGTGTCTATGTAAGCCAAAAGTTCTTCTTGCCTCATTAATGCTTCATGCAAAGCCTGCTTAGAAAGAATAACATATGAATCCTACAAAGGGAAGAACAACTGACATGCATGTCCCGTAACACAAACAATTAGGCTGATTTGGATAAAGCAAAAATCTTCCACTTCTCATTTACTGTATGTACTCACTTATTAATATTATTATTCTTAACTAAATAAATAAAACAGTTTCTTTTTTTATTGTGAAGAGAGTTTTCATTTTTAGTAAATTCCTCTAGAACTCAGTTCTATTCTGGTAATTTAGCCAAATATAAAAACTGCAAAATGATTTCATTTTCCAAACTCAGCCTTGGTCTACCAACTAGAGTGGTTTCAGGGCATCAACTATAATAGAAGATCAAACAACTATAACCAGTGAGGCAAGAGATGGAAAAGGAGTTAGTTAGGTCTGCTAGTTATGAAGATTACCAAGGCAACTGATATTAACTACTGCTGTATGAGAAGTTGAATTACCTTTTTGGTTGCAATTAGCTCTGCTTCTAATGCATCCACACGATAAACAGCAGCATTCAGCAATTCCTCTTTTTCGCATGGCATCTTATATGGCTTTGACTGCAGCATCTCAACCTTCTCCTCAAGCTCCCCTAGTCTTCTCAAAACAGATGACCGCAGGTCTGCCCCTGCAAACCTTGGAGAAGCTGGTGAAGGAGGTCCCAAGTGCTCCCTGGGTTTTGATTCAGGAATTCTGCTTACAGAATAATTAGATGTAGAATGTTCCTTAGTTATTCGGATTGCTAGAGAATGGGCAAATGTGAAGAGGGTTAAGAAGAAGGTTGTGAGTAGAACCCAGAAACGGCCTAGTATTCCTTCTGGAAGTTTTTCATCAACAAGAAGAGATTGTGCCCCTGTAATTATAAGTTCATTGTTAAACAGAGAACTTTTAAAAAGAACAAAAGAGGTGGTGGAATGAACTTTGGTTTTAATTGCAGTAATGCCCTCGTGTATGTGACTTTGACAGGAAGGTACAAGCCTCTAAACAAAAAGCAAGAGGGAAAATGGAACACCAAAAATCTAACTTAAGCACTGTCTGACAACTCTTGTAAAATGTTCAATTTCTGCAACTCTAGTTTGTACAAAACACGCTTTAGATCCTCTTTTCAAAATTTTCCAAAAAAAAAATTGCAAATGCCAATAAATGGTCCATCAACTTCCATATGCATGTTTATATGCTAACAGAAAACACCAGGTTCAGCAAGAATGAGCCTAATAAAAATCCATCAGTAATGAAAACTTGGTTATCTACTGACCTCCAGAAGCATATTTCTTTTCCGCGGGAACCTGTTTCTTCCATCCCACATCCACAGGCTTGTCAATCATTGGCACATATTCATCATATTCCGAAAAGCCAACTGTTGAGCTTAGCTTACCAGTGATCCTAGCCTATTGTAAAAACCAAAGCATGTTGAACACAAGCTTGATATAAATATATATCTTCATCAAGACAGTTGTAAACAAATACATTAAAAACTTCAAATGAGTTGTAATTTTAGACAAATCAATTCCTAATTTTCAATAAAATAACATTTCTTTCAAGCAAATAACAAGAAAAGGAAAAATTAATATTAGTCTCACCACTAAAATAAAAGGAGATGATAATGGAATGCATCGAACACATGTTACATGGACCATCTTATTTCTTTGTCCTGGTGAAAGTTTTGGCTGGAAGACCATTTCTTGACTAATGATATCAAAAATCTTAGCTGAGAGGAAAGGACAAAGCCTTAAGTTATATTGTATATTAACATCTTCAGTGTAGCACGTAAACATAACCTCCAAATAGATGAAACTTCAAATTCTGACATCAAGTGCAGGTGGGTTGACTAATGATCCTATCTTAAACTAATTGGGAAAGGCTCAACTTTTTTATCATATATTATACTTTAACCATTGTATAGCCTTACTTCTATCACTAATCTGTACTACATGGTATATTTCACCAACTATTAAACTGCAGGTGATATTCTATTGGGAAAACTCAAGAATAATGCCCTATACTGTACATAAGGTATGGAAGTAACAATATAAGGATTAAGAAAAACATATATTAGCATTTCAGAGTAACACAGAAAGATGGAAGGAGTTATACTGTTATTTGTATACAATATATTATAATTTAGGGCATCATAAGGATCAAAGAAAAACAAATGCTAGAATTTCACAGTAACACAGATTACTCAGGAAGCTGCGATGTAAAGAAACTCAAGACAATACATCAAATATATCTGCATAGACCCACTTTTTCAGGTCCTACTGGAATTGTCCAAAGTATCATAGTCACAGACACTTACTTCTTCACAGACAGGTGTCAACTTAGGATGCAAAAAGCTCTTAGGTGGTTTAGGAGAAGTAATTTCTTCCATTTCCGATCCCGATTCTGTAGTAGATGTGTCAGTACTCTTTATCTGAGTCAAGAGACGATATAATTACTGTCAGATGACATGTGACCAAACTCTGAGCAGCAAAAATGAGCTTCAATTGACAAGTCAAACTGACCATACCGCTGGATAAAATGGCTTAGAACAAACAATTACCCTGCCTTCATTATTTGAAACAGTCACTATTTGTCTCGAACAGAGCCCTTCACCACTAACAACAATCTGTACGCGCAAACCAGCAATCATGAGCAAATAAAGTTACCACCATAAAAAAATGAAACAGATGCCGGAACATCAATAATATGAAGAGACAGACCAAACCTTTAAAATTTCAGGGTCTTTCCATGGCCCTTTATCAGATCTCATGCAACCTCCCTGACCAGCACAGGTACAACTACCACCAAGAAATTCTGGCAACTCGCTGAACATGTACCAAGATATTTAATCAGATGGTAGACAGGAATAATGAGAATAAACCAACATCTCCACAAGCAAAACCTTCAGTTACCTTGCATCAATGACTTCAAGTAATTTATTCTGGTACTTGTTACCAAGAACCTGAGGAACAAATCCAATATCAACTATAACCTCAGTCAAATGATTTTCTCAAGATAAAAAAAAAATGATAGAGGATCTAAGAAACATACAATTGCAGCTATATTAAGCTTCAATACATACATGAATTTTTGTGGTTGTTTTAGGATCAAGAAAAGATTTCACTGTGTTCCATAGAAGCTTAAAACCAGGACCGGCATTAATGATGAACATTCGGCAAAGTGTCTGCATACATGTCATTTTACATGTAAATTCATCAGACTTTTAATAATGATGATTTACTTTTTTCTTAACAGAAAAAAGCTTGATAACCGCAGCAACATACCTCAGGGATATTGTCACCATCGATCTTTTGCAGCCGCATGATAAGTTCTCGTGCAGGCTTAGTCAGATTTTTGAAGCCCTAGAACATAACAGAATAGAATGAACAGAAGGAAATCACTAACAAATTCTGGTATCCAAACTGAAGATGTTGCCAGAAATTTTGTGGACTAGAAAAATCAAACACCAACATACCACGCCTTGAACATCTAAAATTGTTGTACTCAAGTCTATGTGTCTCTTTGCTGCAATAGAGCAAGCTGGAAATTTAACTGCAAAACTCTTTTCAAACTCCTGCACATGGTATCTCACATATCGTTCCAAAGTTGTCACTTGCATAAGTTTGTTGGGGTCCACTTTTCCTAATCTTTCAATATATAAGGGTCTTCCCTCTTTGTCCACACCATGATAACCCTGAGGGTAGTACTGAAGAACTTCATTCAACTCAGAGAAGTCAAAATCCTAAGAGGAAAAGGAAAACTTATCAGCACTTCACAATATAAATTAAGCAATAGGAAAATGCGACTGCCTAAAAACACATACAACATAGTAAGATTACAAAGGGTACCATGGGAGATCCATAAACTATCAAAATTGGAGACAAGAAGTATCAACGTGGGCAAGAAGAGAAAGATAATGAGATTTTAGCTAGCCTAAACCCACAGATAAACCATGAAACATGCATTAAAACAGCCATGTCACTAGATGAAACTACCTCCAAAATTGTATCAGTACCAAAATCCCTCCTCCATTGAATCATATTGGCCCACATGAGTTTTGTTCTCTCAATATCAAATTTCCTTGCTTTTAGGAATCTGCAACAGGGGAAGAAACAAAGGTCCGTGACTTAAGTGTCTGGAAAAGCTGAAAGCAGGCTTAACCACCTATATTCAGTCTCTGTACAGCAAGAATAATCTACAACATAATCAACAGAATGTAAGACTGATGCTGCAGCAAATAGTTTCATCCTTAAAATTATAACATAAGAATGTATGGCCTAACTGAAATAGATGAACCAACAACGATTGATCTAAAAAAGGCATAATATCATAAGAACACCCTTTCACTGTTACCTTTATATCAAAATGCACCAGTAACTTTCAATTCCATCAATAATTTCTGTTATTTTCAATCAATCTCTCTCTTTCACAAACACACACAGATATATCCAATTTTCAGGATCTTGGTTGAATAAATCTAATAGATGAGCATGTAGAGCAAAATCAATCATAGCAGGGATGAGAAACAAGAAGGTGGCCAAAAAATTGGGACTCAACAAGGTGTTTGAGATATATGAGTGGAGCAGTAGGAGTAGTAGAAGGATAGTTGTGTCGGCCCTGGCATACCAGCTTGTGCATTATCATCCTCAGCTAGTTATCATGGTAAAGGGAAGTCAGATGAACCTCAAGTAATCTGAGTTTGGACACAACTTTGTTTGGATTAGGAGCAAAAGGTTGTATTTAATTTTCTGTTTCGATGAAATTAATCTCATTGAGTGCCTCATAGGACCATTGTTGAAGTCAAACTCTGGGTGCTGCTCACTGAAAGTGGGACCAGATTAATAAAATCCCATCCTCATTTCATGATTTCAAAGCATAGCAAAATCTTCCTATTAAACCTATATTTCTTATATTCCATATTCTATGTCTGTGTATGTGTGTGAGTCGTGTGTGTGTGTGTGTGTTAAAGGAAAAAGATGATAAAATAGAAGAATAAATATAGACCTGGAGAAATTAAGGATTAAGGTAAAAAAAATATAAAGAGAAAAAGATTGAATATGACAGTTATAATGAAACAATAACTAGATAATATAACATAGAGAGAAATAACAGGAAATAAGACCTTAGCACAAGAATTTTTAGTAGCCTTCATATGGACACTAATTATAATCAATAAGAAAAACATTAAAAATAGTATAATAGGAAATCAAAAGTTTCTGATTTCTAATCAGAGTTAAAATATATCTACATAGGCCAAATAAATTAAAGAAACTAAATATAATAATAACAATTAAAAACTTCTTCAATATTAAATCTATTCCAAATTAGGATCTTCTTGTTCTACATCATGTATTACCAGGACTTATAGATTTTCTCTTAGCTCCAAGATCATGTAGTTCTTAAGGCTCCAACTGAAAGCATTAGAGTGAAACATTCTAATAGTATAAGAAAAACCAAAAAACATGTGCAACTTACACAAGCTGCTCTAAGTTTTCTCCAAGTCACTGGTGAGGAAAGAAAGGATAAAATATTTTGAGCGGAGGGAGGAGGAGAAATGGTGGCCTTGGCAGAGAGGACAGAGATGAAAATGAAACACGATGAAAAAAAAAAAAAGAAGAATATTTTAAAGGATAAATTACTGTTTTAGTTCATGAACTATAGACCATATTATAACTGTGTTACAAATTTCTTTAACAATTTACTTTTTCGAAAAGATGTTACTTAAAAAAAAAATGAATTTTTGACAGAAATGACAGAAGTTTCTTGTTCTATATTTAGTACAGAGTTTGAAAGTTATAGTCATTGGCATTAAGCTTAATAAGTTTGGTTAGCACAATTGATTTTCTTTATTTAAAGCATATAGATGATTATTACAAAAATTTGAAAAAAAAAAGTTTCCTAGGACCATTCTTTGGAAGTTTTTCCAACTTCAAATACTAATTCACATCTAATAGAATATTTGTATCTTTTAAGTTATTTTTATATCACTCAACAAAATAGAAAGAGTTTCTACTTTTCTATAGAAGAATTTAATAGAAAATAATTTTTTAAATTAAATTTATAATTTGAAGGACCAAACTGTGGCAGAGAAAAGTTTTAGAACTCCATTATAATATGCCTCATAATTCAGGAACTAAAATGGTGATATTTCCTTTTAAGAAACAATAGGGTTGTCGAAGTTAACAAAAATTATTGTCAAAAGTTGTAATTTGATTAATTTTGTCAGTATAAGGTGCAGACTAACATAATTAAAAATATATGGTACAATTTGACACAAGCAAAGTAGTACAAAAGGGCTCCTTGATATTGCCCCTAAGAAATTCCTAAACAGGCCTATAGGGACAGAACTATGACGATCATGAGATCAAGATCCATCTTCAAAGAAATGTTATTGATTACCATGACTAATTTTGACTGGCCATAGTAAATGTATACTAGGAAGTCAAGCAAACACTACGTGTCACTTGCTTTGCTTGTAAAACCCAACAAAAATCCATCAAGTAAAAAGAAAAAAGAGAAACAAAAAATCAAATTGATCTCACATTTTTAAATTAATAATGCTTTCACTTGCAAAGTGCCAGTTTATATGCCACTAAAAATAAAGCACATTATAATAAAGGGAGAGATCACCTCAGCAACATATGATAATCATCATGTCTTGAAGGGAGCAATTGATCTGAGATAAGCGCCTGCCGAAATGCATCGACCACCTGCAGCTCCTCAGCATCACGAATATCCTCAATTGACACAGATATAACCTGGCCGTCACTTTTCCTCCTATGTTTCTTCCTAAGAGAATGTTTGAACTTACTAGAAGCCTTCATTGCTTTCTTCTTTAAATTTCCAATTCTAGTCTTCCTATCATCCTCAGAAATTTCAAAGTCTGATTTTCGTTCTCGTCTTTCATCAGCGCTGGAGAATCCCTCAAAGCCTGAAAATTACCAGAAAATTGAACAAGTCCAATACTCAAACCATCAAACGAGAAAAATAGGAACACTTTGACACCCTCAGGACTTCTATTAGGCCTCCTTGCCTATTCCAAAATTTAACCAAGGAGAGAAGAAGCCCATGTTGATCGTGATGAGATTTACCGCATAGTTTCTAATCAATTGTTCCAAAATGTCAATATGAAAATGAGTAGTTCCAAATAGCAATACAACAAAACCTATGTAATAGTATTTCTTGAAATTAAGAGGTACATGAACAGAAATTTCCTATGGGAAAGTAAGAAAGAAGACTCCCAAAAATCAAGATTCATTAAGATTCAGGAATTGAAATCCAACTCCGGGAAATAGTGTGTCAATATCCAGAAAACTAAGCCTCAATTCAGCAAAGACCCTCCATTGCAAAGCAAATTTTATCCCAATAAATAAATCTAACCATAATGCAGCTAGAAGGCATAACGGAAGAAGCAACAAGAGAGATTTTCTAGTTTCATTTAAATTTTAAGAACAGCCTAAATCTTAGGACTGATCACAGTCAATCACATGAAGAGTCGATGATTCACCAATTCACATTACGTAGATATTGGAATTGCAAAGCAAGAAAACAAAACTAAAATGCGACCGAACAAAATCACCAGATGTAAACTAAAAAGTAAGCGAGAATCAGAATCCAGTAAACAATCTGGTTAAAGAAATTGAAAAGAAAGAAACTGGAGAGAATCGAAACAGAGAATGAGCATTAGGGAGGAGAAACTCACAAGGCATGGCAAAGCGATCAATACGACCTGACATGATTGATAATTACGAGATCAAGGCTCTGAAAGGAAGCATGAAGAGAGAATTGTAATTGGAATGCGTGATCGAGACGATGAGAGTGACTGCAGAGAAGAATCTTGATAGGGGTTTTACAATTACAGAGACGAGAGAGAAAACGGGGGAGATGAGACGGTAAATGTTAGTATTAATAGAGGGAATGCGAGAAGAATACGAAACGCAGGTGAAAGCTGCTTCAGCCAGCGTTTGATTCGTTGGTGGGTCCCACTCTTAGGGTTGCCAGGTGGCAATAGGACCTACTGCCTTCTGCAACTGTCCTTGGCGGGAACTTCCCACAACAACTCTTAAAAATCTTTGTCGGCGGCATGTTTTCTCTCTTTCTCTTCTTTGTTGTTTTGGTTTTGTTTTATTGAATTTGAATGTAAATTTTAAGGAATAGATATTAAAATTTAATATAAATAAAATTTGATGGTCACAAAATTAAAAGCCTAAAAACCGTTTTAAATTAGGATTAACTGCTTAAAGAAATATTAAATAGAGAAAAATTGCTATCAATCATCTTTAACAAATGTTTGTTTTTCTCTCTAAAAATTTCAATTAAAAGGAAAAAAAAAAATTAAAGAAGGGATTCTAACGATGAAAGAATTGCTCTTTCAATTTGTGACCAACAAAGCAATAACAATTTTTGTATTCTTAATTTTTATTCAAAATTTATTTTTTTTAATTAAATAAATTATATATATACTACCATACGTTACAAATTTGGTAAAACGATTTTTTTCTTTTTGTGCATATCAAGAATCAATCTTGATGTTTTTTTTTTTTTTCTTTTTGGGTTAATTTCAAATGCTCCCCACCAACACCAACCTTGACTTTATCAAGGTTGTATATTGTTCAAATCAATTTAGTAGCTTATTCATAGACTAGTTTTGTCCATTTGAAGGAATAAATCATGACATGTGTAATAAGGAGGAGAAGAGTGGTAATTAATTGAGCAATTAAAATTTTGCCCCATGCACCATCATGACTTGGAATTTCGCACGTTTTTGTTGATCAACTTTAAAAGGATTCTTTATCTCATCTCCCAATAATATTCTTTTTAAATATTTTTTTTTTACAGAAATTCAGAAAAAAATACTTTAAAAATATGTAATTCACTATTTAAATAAATTTATGATGACTGTTTTTGTAATGCTTTTAGTTTGAAGACAACAACTTCAATCATTTTTTATAATTAAATTTTATTGATTTTCAAAAATTTAAACTTAATTAATTAATAATATATTATTTCAAATTTTTATATAGAGATCAACAATAACATATTTTTTTAATGTGAGATTAAAATATTATAATTTTCAGCACTTAAATATTTAATGTTCTCAGGACACATGTCACACAATCACTAGTAATAATTGAAAAGTTCACAAACTCTGACATCATATCAGTTGAAATCCTATATTTAAATTACTAACTTTAAAAAGCATAAACTTAACTTATTAATAATATATAACTTGAACTTTTTTTTTTATGAAAACCAACAAAAATTTATCTTTCTAATATGAATTTAAAGTATCACAACCTTCACTAATTAAATCCTTAATGTCCTCATCAAGGACGCACATTGCACAATCACTAATAATAATCTAAAGGCTCAAAAAATTTAAAATTATATTGGCTTGAAGTCATAAATTGAATTACTGACTCTAAAAATAAAAACTAAAGTTATTAATAATATGTTACTTAAACTGTTATGTAGAGATAAAAAAATTATATATCTTTATAATGTAAAATTAAAATATCATAATTTTTACTATTAAAATTCTTAATGTTCTTATCAAGAACACAGCATACAATTACTAATAATAATCCAAAAGCTCACAAAATTCAAGATCATACTAGTTAGAATCATGAATCCAAATGATTGGCATTTGCTTCTCAAACAAAAGAGCTCACTTGCTTCTATATTCTCTTATACTCGGGCTTTTTAAATCTTGAAACTCCACTTTGGTGTATGGAGATGACATCCCTCAACATACTTCTCTATATAAGACTCTTGAGCATCCTTTCTCGACTTTTTTGTAACCAATTCGGATCATTGTTGATAACTAAATATTTCCAGCTAATTTACCTCCCCCTCCAAGAAGGAATAAGTAGATGGCAAATCAACTTCAGTTTCTAAATCACTCTCCTTTTGACATATACATATATACACACACACACACATGTAGAGCGAGAGCGAGAGAGAGAGAGAGAGAGAGAACAAAAATTATCAATCTTCTACGAAATTTTATTTTACATTACTTTCGCTGTCTCTCTAATTAATGTATAATATCTCCTACTTCATTCCATTACCATCTTTATACTAAAAATGAAATCAAAATTTCTTTTCATTCCATTTCATTAATTTTTATGCTATTAGTTTCATTCCATTACTACCGTGATAAACTAAGCAAGCCCCCACAATTAAGATATAGAACACCTTAACATTAACCAGTCGTCCAGCATTTACTAGTCCCTGCCTAAACTAAACAGTCTCTGAGATCACAGCTGCAAAAACAACCAGAAGCACACACCCACCAGAGTGTACTATAAGAATGAAATTCAGAAATAACCACCATAAACGTGCTTCACCATTACATTGACAGTAGCGTATATCTAATCTATACATATATTAACAAATTTCCTACATACATATTAATAGAAGTGGAATGGCAAGATAATTGAGCACTGCTGTCTGTTACCTTCATAGCTCCCATCAATCATTTTATGTACAAATTTTGTGCTCTCCGGGATAACTGAAACATGTCATTTCCAAAAGTAGCAAGTGAGATATTTAACATAAAACAACTTTTCGGGGTAATGATGATTCCAAAAATAAAATATCAAGGATAATAATGAACTTTGGACCTGTTACGTATATTTCCTCAAGTTCCTCTTGGCTCGAAATTGACCAAGCTTGTCCCTCCACTCAGCTGTCCCAAACCATTAATCAACATCAGGAATATTCCAAAAATGTTATATTGCTAACCACTAAATATCAGGAGTACAATACAAATGTTATTAACTACTCTCTCCAGCCATCTAGGCTCATATCAGAAGTATAATACAAATGTTATTGACTTACTCTGCTCTGCCATCTAGATTTATATGGAACCAATAAAAATTATCATTTTCAAGGAAGCAACTGCTATCATCAAGGTTTCTTAAAAGGTGAGATGCTCCAATTCCAAGAATCTAATGGCACTTTTAACTTCATATCTTTTCAGTTTTAAGTTGTTATAGAATTGAGATGAATGGTTTTGATTATGCGGATATGCCTTATATTATAGAAATAAATGTGGAAAACAGAAACGGAAATAAGCTTACCAGCTTCATCATAGCGTTCCTCACCAACAGCTTCCAACATTTTGGACAGAAGATTGAATTCTGTTGTATCAAGACACGGCTGACCACTTGGCCTGAAAACATATTACTTCCAATCATGCCATTATTCTTTTGCAAAAATAAAGGTGCTCTGTAGAACTAGTTTGAGTCTCAATCTGCATTCTTGGATTACTAATAAAGCTGTAATGCCTTACAACATGTACGGTAGATTAATACTTGTATAATTTAATCCAATGTAATTATATAACTTATTAAATAGAACCAAACATGCTAATTATTAAAATAATTTGAAAAACATCTCTTTACGTTAAATAACTTATCAAAAGTAATCAAACATGCTCTTACTGCTTATTTGGCCAGGTTTTTGCCTGTGCTTCTGCTATGAATCAAAAGTATATCCAAACTCCAAAGATAGTATTCCTTTTATTTAAAGCAGGAATATTTAGTTTTTTTATAAAGATAGAAGGAAAATTGAAACTAGATAATTGAAGTATTATTTTCACTGTAATTTATTGACTTATTTATTTATTTTAAAAATAAAACATAATACTAATGTATTACTTATAATTTAATACTTATCATACTTCATTTAAATAATTTTACATTAAAATACAAGAAAATGTGTTATAAAATAAATAAAAATATATTTTCCTAAAAAAACTATGATAGAAACTTTAATAAAAAAATCTTATTAGTACTAGTTATTTTTTACTGTTTCATAATTTCTTATCTTTGCTTATAATTTATATTTTCTAGTCTACAATGATTAATCAAATATAATAGCATATTTCACATTGAAAGCACTTTATATAACAAAACTTACCAAAACTTTATACTGCTCTCACATTAAAAAAAATTACTAAAATTCATTCTCACAGTAGTTTTAATCATTCACGGTACAAGTACCGGATGGACAACAAAGAACCCTAGGAACCATTAGTCTAAACAGGATTCAGCAAAAACATTCTTGAAGCCAACTCACAAACCATTGTCTTTCATTGATTTCATATTATTTCTAACATACATAACTGAAGCTAATCAAAGTGAAACTCCTTAGTAGCTAAGTCATCAATGAGATTATAAAGGTTGTATTACTAAAATTCCTGATGTCTTCCAAATTTTCTAATCCTAAATCCAGATATGCATGGAGTCCAAAGAAAAAATTTACAAAATAAGGTAGCATCTAATAAAATGAACGACTGAAATAGAATAGAACTAAATAGGATAATATAAAATAAGAAAAAATATAGTTAGTGTGTTTGGTAGATACAGGACTATATAGAACAAATTTGTCTGTTAAACGTTTGGTAACTGAAAGGGAAAAAAAAAACAGAGCACAGTGCATTAAAATTCCTGATGCATGGAGTCCCAGCAAGAAAAACTTCATTCGGAAGGGAGCACTCAGTAAAATAAATTAAAAGAATAGGACAAAATTAAATAGAATAGGAAAAGACAAGACAAGGTTTAGCAAGTGTGTTTGGTAAATATTGGATAGAATAAATTTGTTCTATTTGATGTTTTAGAAACCAAAACACAGTAGAGAATATACACCATGCTAAAATGCCTTTATCATGTTTCATGTTTTATTTTTAACTCTTTATGAATAAAATAATATTATTTGTGTTTATTTAAATATAGTAAATTCAGACTAGTTTTAAATTTATATTAGTTTTAATTTTGATAATTCATTTTTAACAAAAATATCAGTCAATATATTAATCAAATTTTCACACAAAAAATCATTTTTATTTTTTTAACTAATTTTTAACAAAAATAGTATACTATTCATGGTTATATTATGTTTTAGTAATTTCAAATTTGTGCTAGATGTTGAAACAAATTTGTTCTACCAGAACATTTTGTCCTTTCTTTTTGCTTTTTTTGTACTAATGTGTTCCTGTTTTTTGGATACCAAACATAAAACTGAACATCTTCTTAATATCTGGTTCCATCAATTTACTACAGCCAAATGTTCAGTTTTACGTTTGGTATCCAAAAAACATTCTGTCCCAAATAGTATGGAAGGAAAGCAATTTCTGATAGTTTCAAGACTAACAAAGACTAACCTATCCAATTCGGTAAATAATAAGCCATCTGAAGCAGGCGACAGTGTTGATAGCTTCCCAGATTCAATTACTCGCATACCATCACTATATGCCAGGTACTTGTTGACCTGTATTGGAACCTGCACATATAATAACTAGATATTATCTTATACACAAGGATACATGTATGAAAACAATTTGCAGCTTGGAACATTCTCGTGTCAACTTATGCAAAAGAATAGAGGGAAGCAAATAGACAGGTCAGGCGCTGCAGGTCTTACAGTTTGGTAGTTGGCAATCCTCAATTGAGAGACTTCACATGGTGAATGCAGTTGCCAAATATAATTGTACGGTAATTAACATAATTTCCATGCTATGTCTATTAGTTAGTCATTATTAAGTTTTCTTCTCCATGTAGTCATACAAAGGGGAACTCTGTATTTTAATTAATCAAAAGAGTGTTTCAAAAGTGAGCATCATAAAATTTCATCACTTACTGAAGAAATATTGGTAAGGTCATCCCATAAGGCACGGGTAGAGAATTGAAGTCAGATTTTATAACCGACCCACCGTGCAAATGAGGTTTGGTTAAGCAGCATGTATCAAAAACCCAATTTACGCAATTGAAAATCTAGCATTGTTGGTAGAAATTCCAACAATCAACAAAAGAAAACTTTCATAAATAGGTTGCAGAGGGTACTTTGCATCTGACAGCAATGTTGATGGCATCTGATGGTCGCAGGTCAAAGCTGACACACTCTGCCTCATCACCAACCTGTAATCACTCTAAAATTGCTTCAGTCAATAAACAGAATGGTTTATGAACTCATGTCATCAATGGTATTTCAAAAATGGCACAACTTAAGAATGGTGAAAAAGAAGAATGGTGGATGCTTGCCTTTGTGAGATATAACTGAGCAAAATATGCTTCATGGACTCTCTTTGTAACTCGAACAAGTCTAACCTGCAAAAGGAAAACCGCTATGATCAATATCTTGAAGAATTAAAAGCCCATTGAAAGAGCCAATAGACGCCTTCTGATTGTAACAGTGAGGACAGGGCGGAAGAAACAAAAACATACTTCATATCCCATCTTGTCAACCATATCCTTCACAACTTGATACATGGTAGGCCTAGCCTGGTAACCAATAGCCAAAATATGTTCTTGAAAACTGCAGTTTAACAATAAAAAATAGAAAGGAAAAATAAAATGCAAAAAGTCTAACAAGGCTTTGATTCGGGAAAGCATGTACCAGAGACAGGATGACCCAATCCCCCAAGAGAAAAGGTTAATTTAAGAAAGACAGAGGTAAGATGGAGAGTTAAAACATACAATTTGAACATTTCGCATTGCTGCCATGAGCAAGACACTTGGCATCTCCACTGCAATCAAAGGAAAAGAATCAGCATGACAATTACATGAAATGGGAGTCTGGGATAAAAACTTCATAAGATTTCACAATCGACTTGATACAGGATCACATACACACAATTATCGGAAGAAGAAGACCAGTGCCATCTTCCATTTTCAATACAATCGCAGGATGTGGAGCATAATCTGGTAAATGCCCTCCCTGAGGGTTGTTATGGACACATCTTAAATGCCTACCATCCCTCATCTTGATCATGAAACCATCCACTCCACTTTTCACCTCAACTATAAATGGACAAAACCAAGAAAGTTTCACTAAATGACAAAAGTGCAAATAATCATAGACAGATACACAGGTAGGTAGACAATACTGAAACTCCTATCAATAGAAGAATTAAAAAGCACTTATTAAAAGAGTCAGGAAAGTATACCAGCAAGAACAGAAAAAGGGTTAGAAGAATTAAAGCAAGGATTAGAAGAATTAAAGGAAGGGTTAGAAGAATTAAAACAAGATGATAAAGAACGCTCAGGGCAAAGATGTGAGCTAGTACCAGCTTCAACTACACTCGAGTTGACATATTCTTCATCATGTTCGTTAAAGTTCTCTGCCATGCTTCCGTTGCCATTTGACGATGAACTGAATGTACATTGCACCTTCATACACCTCCTAACTTTTAGTTGCGGATGTAGAGCACCGACCTTAGTGGCACTACCATTTACTCCCTTAATGCCCCATAATTCGCTTCTAAAAAATCTGAAGTTAATCAAAGGGATATTCACCGGAAGAGAATGAATTCCGACTTGTCTGGCTCGGACATCCGGGCAAATAATCGATCCTTGCAGAGATACCATGGTCACTCCTTCAATATATACCCAAAAGAAGGAAGAAATATCAAATCAATAAACATCAACTATTCAAATAGTGGACAAATATTCAAGAAGAAATTAAAAAGGAGAATTAAAACGAAACAAAAAATTATTAAAGATAAGCTACAAGCGTTATAAAAGTCTTCTGATATCAATATAAAAATACCCGATCATGTAGGGATAAAGGGATAAGACATTTTAAATTCAAGCTTATGATCATCAAAATTGATATTATCTTCGGGTGTCTCAAAATAATTTTTTTTTTTTTTTGTTTTTTGCTTTTTTAGACGAAGATTCGTAACAATGTCTCTCAGATAACAGAAGAACTACAATTTATAATTAAAATTCGCCTTTGATCAAACTCCGAACAGTTATTTTTTCACTCTCTAGACTTTCATGAAGTCAATCATACAAAGCTATTAAGCATCATATGAAAGAAAAGCCATAGAGTTGTAAATATTTTAAATTGAAAACCAAATAGATCCACACCTGGTAACCTCCAAAGCTACGCTCTAAGCTCCTAGGCTGCTCAACGATCAGAAATATATATATGATATACTCTCTCGCCGATCGCAGGTAGAAATATG